CATTGGTATGTATACCTATATCACATGGTATCCACATTATTAACACCCATTTCAATGAATCCAAAATAGCTTCAATATTTCATTGCCTTTATGACTCACAGCCTACGTTAGAGGTGGAACAGTGTCCTGGTCGATCTGTAATGAGTAGCTTATTAGCAGCTACATGAAAAACTGAAGTAAGGCATACTGAACATTTAAATATAGTTCCCATCTCACAGACTGACACCACTGACAGTCTTCTTCTAATTCAGCGAACTTGAAGAGAGTGAATGGCAGTTCAAAGAGAAATATTTGACATAAGGCAACTGCACATGTCACGGGTCAGTAATGTGCAGGCCATTGAGCACCTTGTACTACAGTTAAGGACATTTAATAAGTGGTCCAGGCAGGCCAGTATGCCCTCCGTAAACCGTCATAACAAAAATAGATCAGACAGCAGCCTAGTCACTGCGATAACGAGCAACCTTTTCAGAAAGTTCTGGATTTGTTTGCTCCCTGCTTTTTTCTGTTTTAAAATGAGTGATATATTTGATGGCAGTAAATATCCTAGGACACACTAAAGGTGGTGGATGTGTGAGTTTAAAGTAGACTTTTCTCCCATCTTCTTATCTTGAGCTAATAACTCTAAATATGTCTGAGTAACATACAGAGCTACATGTGAGCCTTTCCTTTCCCAACTAGTGATGTTTTCATGAATGACAGCATCTTTGAAGTTCACTGCACTGAACAACTAATCAATCACTACTGCTAACTCTCTCTGCAGTCAACATTTGCAGCACAGTCTCTTAATAAAGCAGCCTATTAAAAATTCAGGTCAGTAGTGGACATAGGCCTGGTCTGACAGACATGAATTAAGCCTAGTTTTGAAATAAACTCCAATGCCAAAGGATAATTCACCCTTAAAAATTCTTGTCTATGCTTAATCTATGCCTGCCTAATGATGTTTGGAGCAATGTAAGGTAAATTATGAACTATGTATTCACCATCAACATCAACTCTTTATCAATATCACATGCAGGTGGAACCTTGGGGTAATTCCCTGTGAAACCGCTGCTTCAAAATGCAGTGGTTCTTCTCTTACTTTCTACAACTGCTTTGCTGAAACGAAAACATAGTTGTGTAGCAGTTGCATCGAAGTTGACTCTCATCATAGCTGTCTAACTGTAATTGCTTCACTTGTAAGCTGGGCTCAGAAACAAAAAAAAATCTCTAAGCAGAACCAAGTAAACATTTCAGTTCTTGCATATCAACCCCGACATTAAGTTCTTAAACTGGATAGAACAGAAATCAGAAATGGGTTATTTCTGTTCCTTTTATAAATTAAAAGGCCTGATATATGCATTTGTCTAGTATGAGCCCTAATATAAGTAAAGTTAGAAAGCTACAATCCCCAGCACTGTATTAATAAGGACATGTCTACAGACACATAAACAGGCTATGGAATTTTGCACACAGGTATGAAATAATAATAATTTACCTGTGGCCGTCATGATCAAAGTAAGTGCAAATGCAATCATACTTGTTATCAACAGAGTTACAAATTCCTCGTTTGTACAGTCACGCTAGTTGGATAAATGGTTTCTTGCATCATGACATATAAGATAAACAACATCATATGAGATTATGTGGAAAAGCACAGAGCTATTGTCTGTTTATAGGATGGTTGAATGTATGGTACTGGATGAATGGATGATCTCCACTATATTGGCAGATAGTTTTGTTGTTCTAAGACTGAGCTTCTCAACTTTTTCCACATTAAGGCCCACCTGTTTATCACTAGAAAGCCTGAAGGCCCACAAGAAAACAAAACTCCATTTTTTTTTTCTTTTCAACACAGTGATATGTAGGTGGCTACTCTGTCACGTGTGATGTGTATCAGTGAACATGAAATATCAGCAGAATATTGGTGCGAGTGGACAACTGAAAGGTCAGGTGTTTCTAGAGGCAAAGGGCAAAAAAAGGACAAACCTGCCTTTGTGTAATGTTGTGAAACTGTGTGAAAACATTTTATATATATTTTTTTTATTGTTAAGTCAAATTATTTTCACTGATTTGTATGACAATGTGCCATCACAGGCCCACTACAGACCATCGGCTTCCCTCAGTATAGGTCCAAGGACCACCAAGGGGTGCTGTGCGGCCCGCTTGTGGTCCTCAGCCCAGTGGTTGAGAAACCCTGCTCTAAAAAATATGCTTCAAACAAGCAAAATGATCTGCCCATGGCGTGAAGTAAAAAATGTCTGACAATAAGATGAATAATCGTGTAGTATTCTTGCAGCCTTCTCAAAATTAGAAATGTTAGATACACCAGCTAGATTTAAAATAATGTCACTTGACAAGATACAGTTTTTTTGCAGTGCATATTTACCTCCTGGTTTCTCGCCTCTCAAGCCTTGGCAACTTTGATGCATTTGCACTCCTGCAGTCCTTATTTGCACTCACAAGTCTTCTATGCGCTCATAGTGCTGCCATTTGGAGAGGACCACATCAATGCAGCCTCATCAGACTCTTACCCAAAATTCCTTGTAAATGTAGGGTAAATGTAGAACCACCTCCCCCTTCAGATACAGTCCTCGTCTGTATCTGAAGGGGGAGGTGGTTCTACATTTATTAGTGGCCAAATTAATCTTTAAGAATAGTTTAAAGTGTTCTTAATTGCATGCTTATAGCTCATGTGTTAAATACGGACTTGAATATCACTCCAGATTTTTAAAACTAGTAATCAATAAGTATTTAAACTAGGTTAACGCATCTTTTCAGAGGCTAAAAGTAAGCACAATAGGCTAATGATATTCCTAGATCTTTAAGATCTTTAAGGTCTGCATCTCAATCACTTTTAACTGTTTCACGGTCTCGTCTTAAACAAAAAGGGGGTCGTGCTTTTGCTGTCGCTGCACCAAGACTTTGGAATGGTCTTTTATCGATTAGCATTCAGCAGTCGTTGAACTGTGGACTGAGGTCTGCACACTGTTGTGTGAACGTATAGTAGTGGTGTTCGGAAGGTGGGAATCCTTTTTGTGTTTTATTGTAAAGCACTTTGGTTTTAAATGTGCTGTATAAATAAAATTTACTTACTTCCTAAAATTTCAATTAAATTGCTTTAATACATTAAGAGCTTTTGAAAAGTATTACACATAATGGATATTTTACAGAGTAGTCAGTTTATTTTCCTCTCAACACACACATGGTATTTTGGTAAAATCACCCTTTTCTCCTTGCTTTTTCTCAGTTTCTTGTGCTTTGCAGTGCTGCTTGGGTATTGTTTGATTTTGTTCGGACATCAGCTAACTAAGCTACCAGCTTCATACCCATGTTTGCACACATGAGCTAACAGTGCTGTGTGATGATGCAAAACATTTGACCGTGTGAATGATGGGGAAGTGCTACGGTTCCGCTAAGTTCCATGAAGTTCCACTAAATTATGTAGGGGTATTGTGCTGTGGCAGACCACAGAGTGATGCTTCATCCTCTAATAAAGCCTACGCAAATTTTGAACTACATTCTCACGTCTGTTGCCCAGCGGCCCCAATTCACTGCTTGGTTTGCTTGCCTGGTTAGCTTCACCTCCTTAGTCCATGTTCTGAAGCTCTACTAGGTGCTTTGTTTGCCTTTTAACTATTTACATTTAAACTTTATCATTCATTCTTTAGAAAATGTAACTTCTTTATTATTCCATTATTCCATTTTTTTTCTTCTGTTCTAAAAGTAAGAATGTACTTTCTGGAGGCTTGAAACTATACATTTTTTAAAAACTGTCAAGATATTACAATACACACACACACACACACACACACACACACACACACACACACACACACATATATATACACCGATCAGGCACAGCATTATGACCACCTCCTTGTTTCTACGCTCTTTGTCCATTTTATCAGCTCCACTTACTATATAGGTGCACTATGTAGTTCTACAATTACAGACTGTACTCCATCTGTTTCTCTGCATACTTTGTTAGCCCCCTTTTACCCTGTTCTTCAGTGGTCAGGACCCCCCATGGACCCTCACAGAGCAGGTACTATTTGGGTGATGGATCATTCTCAGCACTGCAGTAACACTGACGTGGTGGTGGTGTGTTAGTGTGTGTTGTGCTGGTCTGAGTGGATCAGACACAGCAATGCTGCTGGAGTTTTTAAACACTGTGTCCACTCACTGTCCACTCTATTAGACACTCCTACCTTGTCAGTCCACCTTGTAGATGTAAAGTCAGAGACGATAGCTCATCTGCTGCTGCACAGTTTGTGTTGGTCATCCTGTAGTCCTTCATCAGTGGTCACAGGACGCTGCCCACAGGACTCTGTTGGCTGGATATTTTTGGTTGGTGGACTATTCTCAGTCCAGCAGTGACACTGAGGTGTTTACAAACTCCAGCAGCACTGCTGCATCTGATCCACTCAGACCAGCACAACACACACTAACACACCACCACCACGTCAGTGTTACTGCAGTGCTGGGAAAGATCCACCACCCAAATAGTACCTGCTCTGTGAGGGTCCATGGGGGTCCTGACCACTGAAGAACAGAACGAATGGCTGATGACCAGCCATGCTGGTCTATGCTGTATTTTCTAGCTTAAAATCTTCCAGAAAGTAGTTACATAAAGTTAGATTTAATTCTTTATGAACATAACACAATTGTCTAATGTTTCATTTTCCTGCCTCTATCGTGTCTAAAGGAAAACGACACACCAAACATATAAAGTCTTCCAACACTTCCAGCCCTTTTCTGAGGGTTTCCTCACTTACAGCGCCAAAACTAATGAATAATCGTTGCTCTGCGTTCCGCTTGTTGAAACACCGCCTGCTCCGGTTGTAGTGACGTTTCTCGAACGGGCGCGTCGACTCGTGGGCGTGCCTTGGCGGTGGGCGGGACGGCGTGGGCGCTGACGTCATTGTTATTGAAGGCGAACAGGCCACGCCCACTCCTGGAGCAGCAGCCTCTAACGGTAGAGCTCGCTCGCACTACCCGCCAGTACTGCGGACCGAAGGGAGCTGCGCGCGCCGCCGCTCACATTCTGCCATCCATGCTGCTAACACTACTGCTGCTGCTGAGCGCGAGGGGCTCCGGGACTGAGGTGCGCGCTGCGTCCGCTCAGTGCAGCCTGTAGAGGAGAAGACGTGACTGGAATATAAACACATTCACACACAGACACACACACACGCTCCGAACCATGTCGAGGAGTCAGAGGACGCCGCTGAAGAGCACGGACAGTGTGGTCGAGGTGAAGAGCAAAGTAAGTGTCTTTCTTACGTGACGGGTTTGCAAACGCGCGCGTAGGGTACGTGTGTCTGTGTGTAGGCGCGTGCTAGGTGTGAGACGAGCGTTTGGCTCGAGCTTAAGTTGTGCTCAGACAGAGCGCAGTTCTGGTGCAGTGTGTGTGTGTGTGTGTGTGTTCGTGTTCGTGTTCGTGTTCGTGTTCGATGCTATGGACGTGCGCAGTGAAGCGACCGGGCCCAGCGATCAATTATGCATGTTGGACACCGTGCAGCAACGGTGCAGTGAAAAATATCAACCATCCATCCGTCTCCGTCCTCCTGCACACCTGTCCTCACACGACTGCTCTCGTCTCATAGCGCAGAGCTGTAGGACTGTAAGACTGATGGCTCTCGGTCTACAGCTCATCGTCGTATAGACCCGGTTGTGAAATTGTGTCTTGTGTTCTAATATTGTCTGTGTTTCACCGTCAGACTGTAGCTGGATGTGAATTGTACTCATCCTGTTTTGTAGATCATGTGTTTATTCATAGTATCTGCGCTGTGAGCAGCACCTTAAAACATCTCAATGATAATCTCATGTGTAAACAAACCACAAAGCCAAGCTGTTGTTGACTGGTCACATGCTTTTTCCTTCCCCCTCCAGAAGCTTTGTGATACTGCATATGATGTTATTAATATTAAAATGTAGGAGGTATTGAATTTCTCTCTCTACTAAATGAAGAACTGAATATGGGTCTCCAGCATATCAAACAGGGATGCAGCAGTATGGGAAGTGTGGGCCAATGCTGATATACAGTATTTTTTATGTACATGCGGATGCTGATACATTTACATTAAACATTTTTAAAATGTATAAATCAAGACTGCATCCACCTTTATTAGCATTAGAGATGATGTCATTCATCTCTATAGGGTTGCAAATGCAGTAAAAATCATACAATTCAGTTATTGTAGCACAATAAACATTCTTCTCTTTCGCGTCGCTTAAACGTTCCGCTCTTTTGGGGTACAACAGACATTTATCATTAAATATCGGTTTAAAATATTGGTAAAATCTAAACATCTGTCTGATCTGGAGTCTTTTAATGCAAATCTCTGCCGATACCGATATGATTCCAGTTTTATCCTGCTTCCCTACTAATAAAACCACGTATCTCAATTTCTTCCCTGATTGTTATTTTGCTACATCATTTAAAGGGGAATTTCACAGATTTTTCAAAATTTCCACATATTTATGTGAACACAGTCATTCCGACCGGTTGATGTGAAATGCTCCGTTCTAGAGAACCTACCCAAGTCAGATTTCTTTACACTGTACAAATGTAGCCATTATATTTACTTCCCAAAACAACCAGTGAACCTCCACGTATCCTCTGACTTTTTATATGTGATGTTGGTGTTGGTAAAATAGGGATACATCTGTAAACAGTATGTTTTCCTTGGGGGGCTATTTTGCCTTTTGACACCCTGTGTGTACTACTTCTGCCATGAAGATTCAGATTAAAAGATTTAGTTTAGATTCTTATTGTGAAACAATGTTTCAGGTGTCATACAGTGTATTTGTAGCCATTTTATGCAATAACTTTGTGTGAGGGAGTGTCTGGTTCACATCATGACCATTGTGAACAACTGTGACCCTGTAAGTTTCTCTAATTTCTAGTTTCTCTTTTCTAAATGATTTTGTTTACATCTTAACAGTTTGATTATCCAAAATCACTTGGAATAAAATCTTGTTACACAAACATACATTAAATGGTAAGAGCTGACAATTTGGACATTTTTTATATTTTAATTTGGACAGTGACGATATAACAAATTCTGAATTGACACATGCTGCTGACCACATTATCTCCATAATGTTTTGCCCTTGTTTTCTTCAGTGTGTTGTGTTTACTTGAAGTATTTCAAGGAAAGCAGCACCCAGGCCAGCTGCGGTGTGTTGTTCTCCCTGCTGAAGGAATGTTAGAGAAACCTGCTGTGGGAATGTGTAAAAGCAAAAATAGAAGCAGAAAAAAATGCTTTTCTTGTTCTTTTTGTGCTTCACATGAAATTAGAGGCCTCATTTTGGTCGGTACCACTTCGGTTAGGCGAGGAATGGAGCTGGATGTGGTGAGACAGCCGGACCTGAGTTTCGATTATTGTCTGAGGGCAGTAAATAGTAGGGTGGCAGGACTTGATGCTTTTTCTTGCCAGTGAGTTTGTAGTGCGTTGGTCTTCTCTGGTCAAAGAAAGACCAGATGCCCCTAATCCTTCCTTCTCCTCTTTACTCTCCCACTTTCCTTTAACTCACTCATAATGAAAAAATCCTTGGAAACTCTACGTATATTTGATGATTTCATGTAAGAAATATGCACATTCTCTGTGAGTCAAACTTCACATTAAATGTCAATCCAGTTTGTGTCAGCTTGGGTACTACACCACATTCACACCTCCCTCCTTCACTTCATGACTCATGGCAGGATCTTTTTTAGGATCTCCTTACGCAGAGCATCTATACTAGTTCAGATGAACTTAGTAGGTGCTGAGGCTTGGTGCTCTTTGTAGGAGTCTGTTGTTTGTGGAATGCTACTTGAGACCAGTCTTGGCATGAATTTACTCACATGGTTCGTGTTTGATTAGCATTTCGGTTAGTTGTATGAGCCACTTTGTGGCCCTGAAGAAATACCACTACAGGGAAGGAGGAGATAAGGCAGGTTTCCAGGGTCTTGGTCCATGTATGAACTGAATGCCTTTGGAAGTTATCAGACTGACTGGATGCTTTTGATAAACACTAAGACTCGCTTAGGGTACGTCTGGGTTATACATGATGCCCCAAAGCATAGATGTAAAATGTTTTCCCGAAGTCATTTTTGTATACAGTATAGTGCAAAAGTCAGTCTTTCATTTATTTAATTTTCAGTCAAAACGACCATCAAGTATCAGTATTTAATTTGTCCTCTCTTTAGGTGTGGACAGAGGTGCCACCAACATTATCTTACTTCTCAAATAGTCACTAACATTCACAAAAGCAGCTACCCAAACACACCTCAGCTGCCTTGCAAATGTCTTTCTACTGTGCATCTAAATGGCTAAAGGAGATTTCTGAGGAGGTTAGATATAAGATAATCCACATGTATAAGGAGGGAGAAAGTAGAGGTAGGCAATATGGAAAAAATATAATATTGCAATACTTCAAGTAATTTTTACGATATATGGTAGGTCAGTAATTATTTTTTCAGACATCTGATCATTTGGAACTTAAAAAATACTAAAACTGTGACTGTGTGCACAATGATTTTTATTCAATATTTGGCAGACTGTGTTGCACTAAATCCAGTTAAACTGACTAAACGGACTAAACGGACTAATTTTGCTCTCTTTATAATGAAACAAGCAGTTAGCGAGTTTTCTACAAGTACTGACGATATCCGCGATATGTTCAGAAAAGCATATTGTATTGTATTGTGACATAATTTATCATGATAACAAGATATATTGTCATATTGCCCAGCACTAGGTTAAAGTCAAAATAAAATGAGTAGAAAAAAATTAGGCTTTTCCAAACTGGAGTTATTGTAGAGAAAATTAAACTCAGGGACAATCATGCAACATCTCGTAAACCACCAGAAAGGTCACCGTCAGATAAACAGTATTTTTACCGGTGAGAGATGGAAACAAATTACGCGCTACTCTTGCTGCAGATCTGAAACAATTCACTGGTGATTCTGTTATCCTTCCACTGTGAGTAGACAACTCAACACTAGGGATCTGAAAGAATGTGTAGCTGTCAAGAAGCCACTACTGAGAAAAGAAAAAAAGATAAAAAAAAAAGACAGTTTTAACTAGAACACCAAAACTAGACATTTGAGATGTGGAGTAAGGTTTTATGGACTGAGTAGTCTACATTTGTAATTGAGACTACTTGAATTGTGAGAAGCAGAAAATGCAACTAACTTCTAAGACTGAACTTGGGAGGTGTGGAAAAATATCCCTGCAGATTCCTTTGAAAAACTGAATTCAAGTTTCCTGAAAAGAATGGAAGCTGTAATAAAAGCAAAGAGTCTGAAATACTGAAAAATAGATATTATGTTTTGTTTTCAGTGCTTCTGTTAAATATTTTTAGTGAAGCTGAAAAATGGCCATTTTGTCTAGAAATTGAATAAATGAAAGTGTGGTCTCTGACTTTTGAACAGTTCTGTACATCAGTAAATGGATGCTATGCTTTGATGTTTTAGTCCATGTTCTCCTGCTATAAATAATATGAATGAAGGACAGAGAGTTAGTGTATGAGCAAGACAGGACTGAAATAAATCAATTGAAAGTGCATCATCAAAGCCATTATCAAAGACTCCCTGTGAACAACCACTGAATTTGTATACCTGAGTATGTGACCAAAAAAGGAACAACAGTGTTGCTCACTTCCTGTAACACTACTTCACATTAACTCTGACAGGATCATGATGTTGGCGAACTGAACTAAGGCCTCACTTTGATAATGGACTTGTTGCTTATAAAGAATCCACTCTAGCCCTGTTAATGTCCTCCTGCAGCATCATAACACCTGTTTACTGCTCTTTTGTTTTTCTCCGCTGCCTCTCTTCACTGCTCGAAACATCTCCATGTCTTTCATGTTTGAGTCCTGGCTGCTGATGGAATTACTCACAGTAAAACCAGCACTGAGACAGAACCTGCCTGGTGTGTTTACCCATGATAAGAATTCCTGAGGTGAATTCCCTCTCTGCTTGGTGTACGTTTGTATTTGGGTGTGTGCAAGCTCCATGTTTTGATGCCCTTCTCCGTCTTAATCTGTACCAGCGCTGGACTGACCCTAGCTCTGTCCCTCCCCATTCATCTGTCACCTCAATGGCTCCCGTAGAGCCGTAAGTGCACATCAAAGGGATAGGCGGGCGCAGGTGGCCTCGAAATTGATACTGGGAAGAGCTGCTGCCAGTGTGTGTGTGTGCGCAAGAGTGCTCGCCCAGGCATTATACGCCTTTCTGATTTCACATATCTCAGTCTGGCCATCTCAGCCTGGCTAATAGAAGATAATAATATTCAGATTCACTTAGGTCTTGCAAAGAAAAGATTCCAGAAAGCCTCATCTTCTAAATGGATCGCATTTCAAAGACCTTGTAATAGGAGGCAGTCAGGAGAAGAAGACACGCCATCACTAAGGCCAATATAGTTACATTTTCAGGAGCGGTCAGTTTAGTTTCATTCAGTTCTCTTTTGCTGTCATGCCTGAGTAACCTGTGTTTGCTTGTTGCTGCAGTTTGAAGCGGAGTACCGGCGCTTTGCGCTGAAAAGGAATGGTGCTGGAAGCTTCCAGGAGTTTTATCAGCTGCTGCAGACCATTCACCGCATCCCTGGAGTGGACGTTCTGCTAGGTTACGTCGACATCCATGGAGACCTGCTGCCCATCAACAATGACGACAACTTCCACAAAGCGCTGTCTTCCGCCAACCCGCTGCTAAGGATCATCATCCAGAGGAGAGGTAAGGAGCTGGATTTAAAGGCCAGAAGGTTTCTTTTCAGGCCTGCGTTTGAGACCTCCACAATGAAGCCTATGCATTTGTGGCTGATATAAGGGCTACCATTAGATTAAGGCAGATCTGATTTTTTTTTTTTCAAAGCGGTGAACACATTGTGAACACATTTTTTCATATCAGATTACATTCACTTTCATATGCGTTCTGTGGTAGTGTTTTGTATCACACTTCATTGCACATATGCATATCATCAAAGTCAAAACAAAACCTCGTAACTTGTTTTTCAGTTTTTGTGCTATTTGAAAATAGCAGCCGCCCGTTACATCGTGTGACCATTTCATGATTAGTACCAACAGGAATGGCACAAAATTAATTGGTATAATCAGAATCAGAATTGTGTCCATATCTGCAGAAAACGCTAGATCACATGTTAGAGGGAGAAAACGAATGAATGTGATCCAATCCTGTAACAAATCTGTCCTGATATAGCTCAGACTCACACTGTGTGATGTGATGTTAGCTTTGTGTTAGTTTGATTGTGACAGACTACTTTTAGATGCTCATCTTAAGTGGTGTTCATTTTGAAGTGTAATAGTTCTTAAAGATGAAATATTTGTATCAGCTGATACTCAAGATTTCAATATTAGTATCAGGAAAGAAAAAAGTAGTATCGTCACATCTGTCATAAAAGTACATTGACGTTTAGAACTTTTTTCCTTCTTCTTGTTTCAATATCATTGTCGTCATCATCAAGTATGGACAGCATGCTAGCAGCAGTGGCTAACTTGATGATAAAATGTGTACGTGCGAGTTGTTTCAGGACGGAGGTCCTTCATGCTAATGATGGATACGGATGGCTTACAATAACAAGCATGAACCATAAAAGCCAAGAGATCAGATCTAAGCGGAACTCCGGGATTGAGCAATAATGGTTGTAATGTGCACGTAGCCTAAGTGTCAGTTGTGGATGTGTTGAAGTGCCTTTGAGTTTGCTGAAGTGCTCTGTGGTGAAGATGCACAGGCACAGTTTGAGCGAGTCAGGTGCAGAGATGCAGTGGTTCACTTTGAAAGAGAGAGAGCTGGCAAATTAGTTATTTATTAAACAGTTTATCATTACCGGTCAGTGTGTTGTTCCATGAGTGTGGTGTTACAAGTGAGGATGTTGGTGATGTTGTTTTGAGGGAGGAGGGGGGAAAGGGGTGGAGTCAGGGATACTTTGTGCCAGTCAGACCCGTCTCAGTTGCAGGACTACGTTTGGAACTGGGCCAGATCAGAGGAATGCTGATAGCTGTACAGAGCAGAAACAGAACACACAGTCCTCCTATCTCTCTCTCTCTTTTTCTCTCTCTCATCGCCCTCCCATTTCTCCATTACTGTGCAGGTCACGGTCAGTGATTCTGATCAAAACTGAATCTGCGGCCCAACAGCCCATAAAACCTGCTGCTAATGCCCTTAAGAATTTTTCCCGCCTGCTCGTCCTCCTCTGTTTCATGTTTCTGTTTGTTTGTGCAGTGTTTTTGGAGATGTAAGTCGACTGTGAACAAAACCAGGCCCCAACATCAGAAATGTCTGTCCTCTATCATAATAAGAGTAGCTACCACAGAGATTAAACAACACTGTCCCATTGGACTTTCATTGCCATAAGCTATAACAAGTTGTCTTGTAATTACAGAAATGAGCCATTTCACAGTTGTGCCTTTTGTTGTGTTATGGTTAATGTAGTTTTGAGTGTTTTAGATACTGGTTGTATCTCTTTAGGGACTGTGAGGCTCCTTAGTATCAATGAGGGAGCTTTGAAGGACCCTTACCCTACAGTTGTCTTGTATGTTATTGTTTTTCCTGATAACTGTTTTTCAGTTTTATGTATCAAAAACATTTGTCATTCATTTTTTACGTTACATGTCATTTTCCAGCCTCCCTTTATTGCTGGATTTTATTTTGATTTTGTTACTGTGCCTTAACCGATGCCTTAATATTTTTATATGTGCATATGTATGTGTAGCCTTAAAAATTGAGCACAGTTGTATAATGTATAATTATCCTGCCTCTATCATGGCTAAAAGAAAATGACACATCAAAGATATTAATCCTTACAAATATAAATAGACACTGTAAATGAGCTCTGTCCTGATTAAGCTGGCTGCCCTGAATTGTGGCTCATTTAAAAAGCAGTCAGGACTGAAACACTTCCTATAACTCTAGTGTGAATGGATGAGGCTAACTGCCTAGGCAGATGTATGACATCATGAAAAAGTTCATTCAAAATAGGCCATTTTTGCAGCTTAGTTTCCATATATGGTCTAGAGAGTGAACATTGCGTTTTGAAACTTTAGCAACGTTCATGCATTACATCAAACCTTTATTTAAAAAATAAATGATGCAAATGAATTGTTCCATGATATGGGCGTTTTAAGATGATGAGGTTGAGTGTGTTGACCTGAATGTAGAGGCTTTTTCAGTGTCTTTGAGAAGCCTTAGAAAGGTTTTGACATGTACGACCCTTCACTGGTCTTTACTGCATTTAGTGGAGGGAGCTGAAGGTTACAGTGCTCTGAGGGACAGAGAGCTGGACTGTGCGGCTGTGAACGCCCCTGCTCACTGTTCTGACTGAATGAGTATTGCTGCCTCAGCGCTGTGGCCTGGCTCTGACCGCTACAGGACACATATAGGGGGAATGAGCTCAGCGCAACCAGCTGTATCCTTGTAAACAAGGGGAATTCGGGAGATGAAAGATGGTAAATTACTTCCTAGCGTGTGGTGAAACCTAGAGAGGCGTGGTGTTTTGTTTTGGGGGGGCGAGTGGTTTCAGTTTGGGTGGGAGGTAGCAGGAGAAGGTGATTGATCTGAGGTGGAGGCCCTGGCTCAGGGGAGCGAAGAATATGGCTAATGAGACGACCCCCTACCAACCCCCACCAGTGAGACTGGAGGATTAGGTATGAGATGAGAAGGAGCGAAAAATGGAAGGAACAAGATTAGAGGAAGGGTGGGCAGCACATAACATGGAGTGTTTCCTGCCATCCTATTTTCTAAAACCTTTTCAGCTGCATTGTATGTGGGAGAGAGAGAGAAAGAGAAAGAGAGAGGGAGAGAGGGAGTGTAGGCATAGCTGTGTTTTACATAATCACAATTTGAGTCAGGAGTGAAGCTCATTATGCATGCATTGTAATACTGCTGTAGAGAGCAGGAGGACAGAGGCCAGGCTTATTCATTAGCGTCCATGTTTATTCTAGCACATGAGGCCCACCTGTTCGTGCTGACTCAAGGCTTGGAATAAAAGAAGAATATTTTAAAGTAATTCAGTTCTGTGGAAGAAGCAATTAAACTCTGTGAAGTTTTTAGTAGTCTTATATCGTATCATCGCTTGTGTAGTGAGTTGTCAAACAGTTTGGCTAAATATAGTCTTGTAGCGAGAATACAATCTTTTGGTGCAGAATTATGGTGAAATCTGCAGTAAACAAGGGTACAGCCCCTAAAAACCCACCGCCGAATTCCTTTAGTCTGTGCTTTTTAAATGTCTGGTGTAATCAATAGCACAAACAAAACAAGCTGGCTAGTAAAACGCTACCATTGGCTAAATTAACTGTTTCTCTCTCACAGGTAGTCATGTTTATTTATAGAGCATGTAATATGTTCTCCATACACATGGCACACTTTTACATGCTTAATCTGAGTTTTAGGGGGACTTTACAGCTATGTTAACTCACGTTACATCCACGCGCTAATGACAAGCATGTTGTTCATCAGACAATGCTGACTAGTGCACCATCGCCCCCTACTTTGGGCTCTACTTTCACAAGGTGTTGGATTCATTTTGAAATTTCACACTCTTTTTTTTTCCCCACACCCTAATAATTCTACTTCCCCCTCACATTTAGCCCAAAATTTCTCATTGTTGGACCTGCGAAACTCTTGTAAACAATGGATGATCACAACTAGCATTAGCATTCCTGTTTTTTTATTCAGAAAGTTCTTTGAGCTTTGATTCTTGTGTGTGTGTGTGTGTGTGGTGTGTGTGTGTGCTGATACGTTAGATTGAGTAAATACTTAATTTTCTATTTAAAGGAGAATAGGAAGGCTTAGGTTAGCGCCCTTCTTCCTGTTCCTGGCTTCGGCTCCCCATGCGCGCGCGCTCTCTCTCTCTCTCTCTCTCTCTCTCTCTCTCTCTCTCTCTCTCTCTCTCTCTCTCTCTCTCTCTCTCTCTCTCTCTCTGATTTCTGGTAACTGGGCTTTCAGGCTGGATCTATTTAATAAAGCCTTGTTTGAGGGGGACAGGAATCCATATTTCCACAGCAGTCTTATCTGAGCTGCCGGCAGGCCAGACTGGAGGGCTGTCGCTTGGCGATTACAGCTTCATCTGCTCCATGAGAGAGGAATGGCATTTTTCTGCTGCAGTGGGGTTTTTCTGTGTTGCCCAGCCCTTTTATATTTCTCTATGGTCTACAGAGGCTCTTTTTGAATGCTCCGGATTTGCATAGCATGTTAGCAGCTAGCACACTGTGGCTGGACCTGCTGGACAAGCAGAATTCTCACAATCCCTATTTAACATGCTGCTGACTCTCTCCTCTCTCTCTCTCTCTCTCTCTCTCTCTCTCTCATTCTCTCTCATTTGTTCTCTTTCTCATTCTCTCTCTCTCTCTCTCTCTCTCTCTCTCTCTCTCCCTCTCTCAGTCTGTCTCTTTCTCATTCTCTCTGTTTTTTTGTATCTCTCCTTTTTTGTATCTGGTCTCTTTTTCTTCCTTCTCTCTCTCTCATTCTCTCTCATTTGTTCTCTTTCTCTGTCTGTCTGTCTGTCTGTCTCTCTCTCTCTCTCTCTCTCTCTGTCTTTCTCGCTCTCTTTCTCAGTTTGCAGTTATACTTATATCACACTTGTCATCTTTCTGGGCTGCTGGTGAAAGCAGAGCCGTTTGGGTAATGAAAAATTCAGGCAGTACCTGCCGCTGACACCTGCTCTCATCTGAGCTGATAAAGAGCGGCAGTGCGTCACAGGTACTCGTCATTTTTATCGT